CAATAGAAATGTTAACACATGGGAACACGTCTGGAATGTATACGGGAGGGGGGGGGGGGCTGACCCTCATACATTGATCTACATCACGTTCTGTTTTGTCTGCGACCTCTGACCTCCGACCTAACCCCAGCTCGCCCAGGTGGAGGTTGGACGGTGCTGTCTGACCCAAATCAACAAGACCAGAGTGCACCCCTGGATGACCTTGACCTCAATGTCAGCCACGGTAACAGACATTCCATGCTCACGTCTTGAGGATAGTAAAATGTACCACAGACTTTTAACGAGGGTAGTAAAATGTACGAAAGACTTTTAACGAGGGTAGTAAAATGTACGACAGACTTTTAACGAGGGTAGTAAAATGTACGACAGACTTTTAACGAGGGTAGTAAAATGTACGACAGACTTTTAACGAGGGTAGTAAAATGTACGACAGACTTTTAACGAGGGTAGTAAAATGTACGACAGACTTTTAACGAGGGTAGTAAAATGTCTGACTTTTAACCCTCACTCTGTCCCTACCTCTCTAACCTCACTCTGTCCCTACCTCTCTAACCTCACTCTGTCCCTACCTCTCTAACCTCACTATTTCCCTACCTCTCTAACCTCACTCTGTCCCTACCTCTCTAACCTCACTCTTTCCCTACCTCTCTAACCTCACTCTTTCCCTACCTCTCTAACCTCACTCTTTCCCTACCTCTCTAACCTCACTCTGTCCCTACCTCTCTAACCTCACTCTGTCCCTACCTCTCTAACCTCACTCTGTCCCTACCTCTCTAACCTCACTCTTTGTCTACCTCTCTAACCTCACTCTGTCCCTACCTCTCTAACCTCACTCTGTCCCTACCTCTCTAACCTCACTCTTTCCCTACCTCTCTAACCTCACTCTTTCCCTACCTCTCTAACCTCACTCTGTCCCTACCTCTCTAACCTCACTCTGTCCATACCTCTCTAACCTCACTCTTTCCCTACCTCTCTAACCTCACTCTGTCCCTACCTCTCTAACCTCACTCTGTCCCTACCTCTCTAACCTCACTCTGTCCCTACCTCTCTAACCTCACTCTGTACCTACCTCTCTAACCTCACTCTTTCCCTACCTCTCTAACCTCACTCTGTCCCTACCTCTCTAACCTCACTCTGTCCCTACCTCTCTAACCTCACTCTTTGTCTACCTCTCTAACCTCACTCTGTCCCTACCTCTCTAACCTCACTCTTTGTCTACCTCTCTAACCTCACTCTGTCCCTACCTCTCTAACCTCACTCTGTCCCTACCTCTCTAACCTCACTCTTTCCCTAACTCTCTAACCTCACTCTTTCCCTACCTCTCTAACCTCACTCTTTCCCTACCTCTCTAACCTCACTCTGTCCCTACCTCTCTAACCTCACTCTTTCCCTACCTCTCTAACCTCACTATTTCCCTACCTCTCTAACCTCACTCTGTCCCTACCTCTCTAACCTCACTCTTTCCCTACCTCTCTAACCTCACTCTTTCCCTACCTCTCTAACCTCACTCTTTCCCTACCTCTCTAACCTCACTCTGTCCCTACCTCTCTAACCTCACTCTGTCCCTACCTCTCTAACCTCACTCTGTCCCTACCTCTCTAACCTCACTCTTTGTCTACCTCTCTAACCTCACTCTGTCCCTACCTCTCTAACCTCACTCTGTCCCTACCTCTCTAACCTCACTCTTTCCCTACCTCTCTAACCTCACTCTTTCCCTACCTCTCTAACCTCACTCTGTCCCTACCTCTCTAACCTCACTCTGTCCATACCTCTCTAACCTCACTCTTTCCCTACCTCTCTAACCTCACTCTGTCCCTACCTCTCTAACCTCACTCTGTCCCTACCTCTCTAACCTCACTCTGTCCCTACCTCTCTAACCTCACTCTGTCCCTACCTCTCTAACCTCACTCTTTCCCTACCTCTCTAACCTCACTCTGTCCCTACCTCTCTAACCTCACTCTGTCCCTACCTCTCTAACCTCACTCTTTGTCTACCTCTCTAACCTCACTCTGTCCCTACCTCTCTAACCTCACTCTTTGTCTACCTCTCTAACCTCACTCTGTCCCTACCTCTCTAACCTCACTCTGTCCCTACCTCTCTAACCTCACTCTTTCCCTACCTCTCTAACCTCACTCTTTCCCTACCTCTCTAACCTCACTCTTTCCCTACCTCTCTAACCTCACTCTGTCCCTACCTCTCTAACCTCACTCTTTCCCTACCTCTCTAACCTCACTCTTTCCCTACCTCTCTAACCTCTCCCTACCTCTCTAACCTCTCCCTACCTCTCTAACCTCACTCTTTCCCTACCTCTCTAACCTCACTCTTTCCCTACCTCTCTAACCTCACTCTTTCCCTACCTCTCTAACCTCACTCTTTCCCTACCTCTCTAAACTCACTCTGTCCCTACCTCTCTAACCTCACTCTGTCCCTACCTCTCTAACCTCACTCTGTCCCTACCTCTCTAACCTCACTCTTTCCCTACCTCTCTAACCTCACTCTTTCCCTACCTCTCTAACCTCACTCTGTCCCTACCTCTCTAACCTCACTCTGTCCCTACCTCTCTAACCTCACTCTGTCCCTACCTCTCTAACCTCACTCTGTCCCTACCTCTCTAACCTCACTCTTTCCCTACCTCTCTAACCTCACTCTGTCCCTACCTCTCTAACCTCACTCTGTCCCTACCTCTCTAACCTCACTCTGTCCCTACCTCTCTAACCTCACTCTGTCCCTACCTCTCTAACCTCACTCTGTCCCTACCTCTCTAACCTCACTCTGTCCCTACCTCTCTAACCTCACTCTGTCCCTACCTCTCTAACCTCACTCTTTCCCCTGATTTGAGGAGTTAGACCAGAATTGCTCAACTTGGCAAATCATGCACTTTAATAGGACGATGACTCCCAATAAGTTCCGTTATACATGTGAATCCAAATTGTACATATTCGTCCGAACCAGGGGCGGAACTACAGTGCCGCCAGACCCCGCAATGCGGGGGTGGGGGGGGGAGGGGCACGCCGTTTAGGGGCCCACAGCCGACCATAATAATTTTATTTTGGTGGTTGTTTTGTTAAAAGAATACTGTAGCTGCGGTTGGGTTATCTTTATTCTAATGACACCATCCTACGCTCTTGTATAATTATTCTTTTTCCCTTTGTTTTTAAACCATTGTCAAAGATGACGTATTTCCCTTTTTAAATAGTCAAATAGGGGTGCTCATAAGCTCCTTTTAATAGATTTGTACTACACAATTAAAAAGCAATTACTTCTCTTAATTATTTTTTTTAAATACATACTAAAGAATGACATAGTATAAAATGGAAAATTAATATATAAATATAAAAAGACATAAAAATAACACGAGAAACCATTACACATACAAAGCTTTGATATTTCTTTTTCCTTTGACAGTCTCGAAATTAATAAATATTACGGCAGACAAAAAATAAAACAGATTTTCATAACAGACTAATGAACTCACACACATGAGATGTTGTAAGTTGTTTTAATTTTTTAAAAAAGACATTTTTTAAAAACCCGATCAGGCCAGTATCCTATGTTCATATGTTTTGTGTATATATATATATATATATATATATAATATATGGGATGGGGGCAAATTTTTTTTTTGCGGGTTGGCCTTTTTTTCTAGTTCCGCCACACTGCACGACCACCTTATAAATATAAACATTACACATGACTTAACATTACGAGAGTTACATGTTGACTACCGTGTTATGTATGTATGTATATATATATATATATATATATATATATATATATATATATATATATATATATATATATATATATATATATATGTGTGTGTGTGTGTGTGTGTGCGTGTGTGTAGGCCTACAATACCCTGCACTTTTGCAATAATTGTTTATAGGTACTTAATAGACTATTTAACTTTAATTAATCACTAATTGGCTGACAAAAAGGCACTTTTCTTCGGTACTTTTTACTATTTTTTTGCCTTGGTGTTACCAACCTCCCTTAATGGTGTCACCCCGCCCCACCCTCTGGGTGCGGGTCTATCAACTTTTATAGCTGAGAGCTGATGAAATGCTTTCTGGGTTGTGGTCACACACATTTTGGCTCTCCTACTTTTGAAATTCCCTCCCCCACTCCAATGAAACGCGTAGCTCCTGTTTTAAACATCATGAATTGAAATAAATTCTAAACTGAAGCAATTTATAGACCAAGGGAAATAATACTGAGATCCCAAATATAAAATGGATTGCCTCCCCTTTCACCACAAACGAAAATTCCAATATTTCTATTTTTACCATTTTAGTATTTTGATGATATTGTTAACCTTTTAATTATATGCCACCATATTAATGGACGTAAATAATACTAAAACTTAGAGCAACAGCGTTGTAAAAGATCAATGTTGATTTAAATAGATTTATATATTTCTGGTATTTTAAATGTCTTTCATTCAATTTAATTCAAATGCAAGTTTTAAAATAGACACCCACCCGTTAACGTATTACTAGATCAAGTAGCAGAAAAAATGTATCCTAAATATAATTTTAATTTTAACATTTTCTGAAAGCATGAGTTGTAAAGTGCTCCTTAGTTCAGGCTCAGGTCAACGCGGTTTGAACTTGGCCGTTATGTTGCCCGGATCCAGTTAACCAGGCCAATTTTTTTCTTTGTCATGCATCGATTTTTTATATTTTTAATTTGAGTCATAGTTAAAAAAAAACAAGAACTAAAATATCGCTTGCGAACGTTCGGTACACATAGATCTACATGGAAATTTGCTGTCAAACTGGAGGCTTATCCAAAAGTTAGGTTCATTCATAACCCCACAATAATTTTTAAGAAGTAAGCCACCTAACCGCCTTTCTCCTGATTTATTTCTTCGTCTATCCCTGATAGGGCCTCGTCCTAGTTTCACCCAGTGCTTGCCGTTAGTCTATTACCAAGAGGGGAGGGCAGGGTGAAGGCGGGACGAAGTAAAACTGGGTCGCTGAAAACTGGGTTGTTTTTCTCTCTTAGCCCCACTTTTACGTGTGTTTGTGTGTTGTTCGGCCGTCGTTCAGTGAGTGAGTGATCTAGGAAAGACATTACTCAACATTAAAACGATTCTGTTAGCAAAAGAAGTATAAAGATGCCATTTCTATTGTGTGTGATAACTGGTGGATATTCTGTGTATTTGTTATAGATTCTATAATCTAGTTAGTTATAGATTCCTAGATCTAGACTAGATCTAGATCTAGATTCTAGATCTAGAATCTAGATCTAGATCTAGATCTAGATTTTAGATCTAGAGTCTAGACTAGATCTAGATTCTAGATCTAGATCTAAATATTCTAGATCTAGATCTATTTTTCAAAAGTTCGTTGAAATGTTGTTTAGGACCTAGAGATCTAGAATCTAGATTTTAGATATCTAGATCTAGAAACTAGATCTAGATTCTAGATCTACATCTAGACTAGATGTAGATCTAGAAAGATTAGATCTAGAGTAGACTCTATCATTTAAATATCCGTAGATCTGTATTGTAGAACGTTATTTAAATTTTAGCATATCTAGATCTAGAAATGTATTTAATAAAGGTAGTCATTAAATAAGGGCTAGAAAATCTAGATTTAGTCATAGTGCATAGGCACCAATAATGTAAAATATTGTATAGGCCTAATAATGTTAAATATACCCACTAAAAACTCTAGGCCCCACAATATAATTATTTGCAAAACTTTTTAATTAGGACGACGTCTATTTCTAAATATATTATAATATTAAATGTAATGTACTAAAGAGATAGGGTCAAATACTCCCCTGCTAACCTGAAATGCTCGAATCTGTAGGATGTCTCAGGGACCACCCAGCTCTAATGGGTACCTGACTCACAGGAAGCAAAGGTGGCAGGGTGGCTGACCACACTATCTGTTAATATGCAGAGGTCACTGAAACAGGTGAACTCTACTTTTCCAGCCCCATGGTGCAAAAAGTCCAAAAAGATACTTTGCCAGGTTGTTGGTAAAGAACCTAACACTGGATCCTATCTGTCCAAAAACAGTATTAGTAGACTTGTATTATTTTGTAATTTTTATAATCTTATAATAACTGTATGAGCTGGTCAGCATGCCAGTTAGGATTATATCAGATAACAAGTGTGACTCCCTAATATAACATTTCCATCATGTAGCTCTGTATATTATTTCTAGTGACCACCCAGCCCATCCCCACTCACATGAAATGTTACAACAAACATTTAAATTATAGAATTCAATTATTTTAGGCTATAGAAAAAATAATCAGTTTCTTTGTGTTATAAATAATTAAGTTCAAGAGGAGGCAACACATTCACCTAATCATCCTAGATCTACATGGCAAAAAAAAAGTAAATTTTAGGCCTTCTTAAGTTTTAACCAAAAAAAAAAAATTAGTAGAGATCTAGATTTCAACCTAGATTCTAGATCTTAGATCTACCAATATTGAACTGAGGCTTCAACAAATAATGATACACATAGTGCAATGGTTTGGCTTAATAAACTTAGTGTAATTAAAGATCTAGATAGATCTAAATCTGCTTTCAATGAAAAGTAGGCTAGTAAACATTCTAGATCTGTATTGTAGTGAAATTGTTTAAGTTTTGAAAAGTCTAAAATTTGTCATACCACCACCCACTGAACTTTTTTTTAGAATCTATCTCACACCTGATTGGGCTTTTTAAATTTCTTTTTTTTTTGTAAAATAGTCTCGATTATAGATCTTGTTTAGATTCTAAATAGATTTAGATCTAGTAAATATTAAATATGGCCTACTTTTAACTTAAAATTAATTTAAATTTAGAAATCTAGTAATTTTACTACTACTAGGCTATGTACAAGACTAGATTTCTAGATCTATATCAGATATCTACATATCAAATGTAATGAGTCCAAATATATCTAGATTTACTCTCTGATCATTCATTATACAAAAAAAACTCTAGGTTAGGCCTAGATTTCTAGATCTAGTTTAGCTCTAGTAATGTCATAGTCTAGTACATCGGTTCCCAAACTGTGGGTCGCGACCCGAAGGTCTTGCCAACTTGTAGACTAAACCCTAGCAATAAAAAAAATTTACATATATTTAGAAGAATATCTGAAATTCGCTTTACTAACATAAATGGAATAGAGAAGAAAGAATGTGCACTGTGCAAAGTCCTTCTCAGTCATGAGTCTATGAAACCTGCAAAACTGAAACGTCATTTAGGCGAGTCATTCGGAACACACCAAAAATGTTAAAGGAGTTCTTTCGTCGGCATGAAGCTAGTTGCAAACATCATAGGCTTGATCGAACAGCAAGTTTTCACCAAGAAAACACAGCTTTAGTGCAAGCATCATATGAAGTAGCATTAGAAATTGCCAAGCAAAAAACCTCACACAATAGGAGAAAATCTTATCAAACCTTGCATGTTGAACATGGTGAAATAAATTATTGGGGATTCCAGTGTTGTAAAGATGCAACACATATCTCTGTCTAATAATACTATTCATCAGCATATAGCAGGCATGTTCGTAGATGTTAAAGAACAAATTTTGAATGAAATCAAGCCTTCACCGTTGTTTGCTTTTCAAGTTGACAAATCAACAGACGTGAGTTCATGTTTGCAGTTGGTTTTCTTTGTGAAATATATTCATTCAGATGATAGCAAAGAAGTTGCTATTTTATGAAGATATCATGGAGAAAATAAATAGGTTTTTTTTAAACTGGAGGATTACAGTGGGAACACTTGGGTTTATACGGATGGTGCACCATCTATGCTTGGGCCAAAATCAGGCTTTTAGAATAAAGTGAAAGCTTTAGCTCCCTAACCAAGGGGAATCCACTGCATGATACACCAGTGTGCCTTCGCCAGGAAGACTCTTCTGACTCCTTTGATAGAGGTACTTATTTGATAATAAAAGTGGTAAATTATATTAAATCTGCAGCCCCAAACACCCGTCAGTTTAAAGAACTATGCAAGGACATGAATTCTGATAACGAGGTTCTGCTTTTCTATACTACAGTACACTGGCTGTCAAATGGAAATGTGAAGCGTGTTTTTAAATTGCAAGATTAAATCAAGTTGTTCTTGGAAGTGCAAGGGAAACAACCTTTTGATATACTTTTAACAACAAAGAGTGGTTGGAGAGAAAAATAAGTCGTGGAAATTTTGCCATTTGTGAGATAAATAAAAATGTGAAAAAAGCGATTTTTGGACATCTTGGATCTCTTGAAAACCAACAGCGACGTTATTTCCATAAGCTGAAATAAGAAGAATCTGCATTGACACGTAACTCACTTTCTGCTTCCCTTGATATTACCAACATTCCTGATGAGTTACAAGATAAATTCATGCATTTGCGGAATGATACCGTGTCACGTACTGTGTTGAATGAAAACCTACTTAATTTTGGTGTAGTCTGCATTAATCAAAACCAAATGTGACATTGATTGATTCATTGATTGCCATTCGAGTTTTGTTCCTTTTGTGAAAGAGGATTTTCAACACTACTCCAATTAAAAACAAAACAAAGAAATAAATTAAATATTGAGAATGACATGAGGCTGGCGTTAACAAAAACTCAACCGCGAATGTTGAGGCTAGTGAATAGCATTAATTTCACCCATCATATTAAAACAGTTATCTAGAATAATTTAAATTCTACTAGAAAATCTTATTTTGGTGTTTATTAATTTCCTTACTAATTTATACTTTATAATTCTATGGGGGTCTTGGGTCACTTATTTTTTATGAAAGGGAGTCGCTACTCAAAAAAGTTTGGGAACCATTGGTCTAGAAAATCTAGATCTAGTACTCTCAGTGGTAAAGTCTAGTTTTCTTAATTAACAGTCATTAAATCATAGATGCTAAAATCACTTTTGTTTTTGAAAAATTATAGTTGAGATGGTTAACCTAGATCCAATCTAGATCTATTTTATGTTATAGTTATAGCTATACCATTTTACAATCGGGAAATAATTTGCAATATTAGCTAATTACCTTGTTTTAATCATGTTATATTGCAATCTAAGTGGATATTCAACTTATTCTTTATTGATATCAATTTTAGACCTAATTAATAATAAGGAATATTCTCAGTAAAATAAGAATTTAAGTTAATTAAAAAATAACCTAATCCATATTATTTGCAGAAAAATAAGTAGAAACCGACAAAAAGCAAATTGTGTTCTCTGTTCTTTCAGTCATGTTTTACTTTTATCATTTGAGCAGTTTGTGAGGTATTAAGTTGAATCTGTGGCCACTGGAAGGACAATGAAAGAAATCTGCCTGTGGAGGATAATACAATTGACTCATACTAAACACTTGTAGCATCAGACAGCTACAGCTGTAAGATGTAACGCTCAATCCCAAGTCTAGTCAATCCCGGTGAATTCTATCTGTGTATACTCTATGCATTACTTGTTTCATTTAAAATAACTGTTTCAAGTTTTTTGGGTCTCGTTCTGTGTTCAACTTTTTAAACTGAGTTCCTGCCTACATGTTCAGCCCCGTGAAGTATTTTACTATTTTTGGTTGTACAACTTGTTCAGCCCGGTGAAGTATTTTACTATATTTGGTTGTACAACTAGTTCAGCCCTGTGAAGTATTTTACTATATTTGGTTGTACAACTAGTTCAGCCCTGTGAAGTATTTTACTATTTTTGGTTGTACAACTAGTTCAGCCCGGTGAAATTGTGTTGAAGATTATTGTTGCTACACCCGGTTCCATATTTTGTAATTTCCCTGTGAGACCCCAGTGGGTACCAGAAGTTCTAGAACCAACCAATCAACTGCCTTACATTGTTTTTATCAACATTCCTTCTTAAAACTACACAAAACCTACTACATTTGAATGAAAAAGAGTTGAAACCAGTCACTACTAGTCAAAAGCTGTCCACTCAAAGATTTCTGAAATGATGGAAAATTTACTCACCATCTCTTCTCCAACAATAGATACAGACAGGGCCTCACCTGTCACTGAAGCAGGTAGGACATTGAAACATTTGTAACATTACTGACATGCTGGGGGGGGGATATGATTTAAAGCAGGTAGGACATTGAAACATTTGTAACATTACTGACATGCTGGGGGGGGGGGATATGATTTAAAGCAGGTAGGACATTGAAACATTTGTAACATTACTGACATGCTGGGGGGGGGGATATGATTTAAAGCAGGTAGGACATTGAAACATTTGTAACATTACTGACATGCTGGGGGGGGGGGGGGATATGATTTAAAGCAGGTAAGACATTAAAACATTTGTAACATTACTGACATGCTGGGGGGGGGGTTGATTTAAAGCAGGTAGGACATTGAAACATTTGTAACATTACTGACATGCTGGGGGGGGGGGGTTGATTTAAAGCAGGTAGGACATTGAAACATTTGTAACATTACTGACATGCTGGGGGGGGGGGGGGATATGATTTAAAAAGAAGAGCTATATAATATTTCATAACTAGACTATGTAACATTAAATGTGACTGAAAAAAATCTGACCTATTTATATTGTACCAAAAACATTCATGTCTTGCATTGTCATTCAGGCTTTGTTTACATTTAGACTACTCACCCTTTCTTCCTAGCTCCAAAATGTGTCTAGTGAATGAGAAACCTTCTAGATCTAGTTTGAGGGGGGGGGGGGGGGGGGGGGCAGAAGGTGGGGGTGAGCTCACCAGGATCGTCTCAAGGGGGGGGGGGGGGGTGTTCCAATTTTTACCGGGGGACAAACTTTCGATTTGCACCCCCCTCAGACTTTTGCTTTGCACCCCCTCAGACTTTTGATTTGCACCCCCCCCTCAAACTTTCGATTTGCACCCCCCCTCATACTTTATATATATATACCGAGGGGTCTATGGGGGGGGGGTTATGACCCCCCCCCCTGCCTACGCCACTGGAGCTCACATATATTAACAGCTGGCATGCTTTCTGAAGTTAAACGGAAGTACATTTCATCATTTCAAGACCATACATTAATTAACAAATTAAGTATTATGTCCATTTTATAGCTAATTTTCATGATAAACTTATTGCCAATTTACACATTTTATTATAAAAACAGTAAGTGTATACCTTCCAGGTGCAATAATTGCAGGGGGGGGGGGGGTCATAACCCCCCAATAGACCCCTCGGTATATAGAAAAAGTATGGGGGGGGGGTGCAAATCGAAAGTTTGAGGGGGGGGGGTGCAAATCGAAAGTTTGTCCCCGGGTAAAAATTGGAACCCCCCCTTGAGACGATCATGGCTACGCCACTGCCTTGTGTACTATAAAGTGTCATGATACTGATGCTTAGACAGTACGCTGTGTGCAAGTTTGTATTGCCAATTACTATTACTAACACTGCTCTAGAATATTTGGCGCATTGATTTTCTAAACATTTTTTAAACTTTCTTGTATGGTATTATAGTAATTCTGTATGTTAATTTATGCATGAGCCACTGGTACATTCCTCACATAAGGAGTAGGCCTTCAATGTTTATAAGCTCCAAATCAGGATCTAACTTCAGACATGTTGAGAACAATATTGTTTTTCGAATTTATTTTCATCCAGATCTACAACTACCCGTTTGATTAAATTATTAGAGACTTTGCCTTGAAACTCTAGCAAAACTTTTTATACTAGGTTTTATTTAGGTCATATTTAAATAAAAGTCTGGCCTAGATAAAATGTCATACCGTCTGTTTGTCTACCCTTCCCCCATTTGACCTAAATAACAGCGTGTTACTGTTAGTTCCATCTGGTTCATTGCTGTTTACGCCGTAGTGTGTTGTGAGGTCACGAACTGAAGGACATTATATTTTCAAAGATTCTAAAAATAGCCGAGAGTCGACGAGGCTAAGTGACGCTTGTAGTCCCGAATAACGTTTCACCATTACGGTGTGACCTCGGCTATCACCACGCAGCAGTCGTCACAGCCGCGGATTTTTTTAAGGCCAAACCAAGATTCTTTGTTTTATGTTAGCGTTCTGATAGGTCTGAGAAACTGTACTACACACATGCCGCGCTACCTGTAGTTAAACCAATCACTGAAGATAATTAGTGTGTACTTTAAGTGGGCAAATTGATGAAATGTTAGACTGACTGGACAAATATCCACGGATGTTGGTAGCATGGTTAAATTCAACCGATTTAAGGTCATTTGCATTTTAAAATGTATAAATAATTCTCATTGACCCGCTGCAAAGTTTCCAAGCTGTGCCCGGCTGACCTAGATTTCCTGTGCGGAAATAGTAATGATGTGTTTTACTTCAAAACAATACTTTATAGATCTAGATGTATATCTGACGCGCTTTAGAGTGGTGTGTGTCTTGTGTGTTTTTTTTTTAAGTAGGCCTACAACACCCTGATGTTGGTGTTTTGAAGTAGGCCTACAACACCCTGATGTTGGTGTTTTGAAGTAGGCCTACAACACCCTGATGTTGGTGTTTTGAAGTAGGCATACACCATCCTGATGTTGGTGTTGTGAAGCAAGTGATTGGTGAAACATTGCAAGGGAAGTAACAATGTGCAAGTGATGTTGATGGTCAGAGTTGGGTGGTGTCCTGCTCTGTGGTCACACCTACCTGTAGAGATCTAGATTGGTGAATGCCTCCCCCACCACCTATACAGTTGGAATAAAACCCCATTGATTGTCTTGACAATGGCCTGTCATCTCGTCCGTCTAACTAGGTCAGTCACGTCCAAATGTGGACCTGTGACCGTTTGACTTGGAGGTGTGTCCCTTGAAATATGCCGATAACATTCGATTGGCGCTTCAACCTTGACCCCAATGTGCAGAAAATATTTGTCGAATTAATTAACGTTACATTTATTACTGGCGATGTATAGTATTAATTAAACCTTTAAAAAATATATTAACTGCAACTCTTCAAATGATGTCAACCAGCGATTAAATGATCGATTCCTTGTCCTCGCTTAACACGGGTCGTCCTCGCATAACACGGGTCGTCCTCGCATAACACGGGTCGTCCTCGCATTACACGGGTCGTCCTCGCATAACACGGGTCGTCCTCGCATTACACGGGTCGTCCTCGCATTACACGGGTCGTCCTCGCATAACACGGGTCGCTAGATTCCTTCAACCCGAACCACAATGTGTGTGTGTGTTTGACACACTGACCTTGACCCGAGTCTTCCAGCAGCCTACGCTCCTGGTCTACTGTGCCCTGCCGCCTAGTGTCATAGGGGGAGGGGGGGGGATTTCTTGGAAAAGTTAACCACCTCACAAATGTACACATTCGCGTTGTGGCTCTTTAGCAGTCGTTACATCCTCTTAAGGAATATACCCTTTTTAACGTCTAGTATAGAATACCGCTTTTAACGTCTAGTATAGAATACCGCCTTTAACTTTTTTACTTTTATGGTATAAAAGTAAAGCACCCTTTTCAAACCTGACGGTCTTTAGGGCAAGTGAAGTAGAGTTCACTTGTTTCGGTGACCTCGGCATATGAAGAGATAGTGTGGTCAGCACTATGCCCAGCCACCTTTACTTTCCCTAACTTGAGTTAGGTACCCATCAGAGTTGGGTGGACTCAGGGACGGTCTACTGACTTGAACCCGCTAGACCACTCCGTTCCATTTATAAGGGTATAGGCCTACATGTGATTTTTTTTAATGCGTGTGGTATAAATGTTTTGAAAGCATTTAAATCTTGTACACTTACAGACCTCCTGGGCTACCCGTCGTGACTCACTGAAGGGGGCAAGCTCCAGAAAAAACAACGTCTTAATTAATACGTTTTATTTATTTATTTGTGTATATCTAAGTTAGATTACTCAAAGGAAAATATTTGCAAGTATCAAGGACTCTTTTGAAAATATGGTTGTCATGGCAACGGCGGCCATCTTAAAAAAACTTGTTGGGTTTTAAGACTTTACAAACTAACATTAATTTAAGTGGCCTTATAAGCAATGATCCTTCATTTACTAACACTCATAGAGTCAGCTGACTAGTTTTTTTTTTTAAACAGAAAACACTCTAGAAATATTTATTTTGAATTTTCAAAATTTGGTATGGTGAAAAATCTTTAAAAACAATGCACAAAAACGGTATTTCACCAAACATTTTTTTTTTATAAAATTTGAAAAAAATATTACTAGCGGTTTTCTGTAAAAAAAAAACTAGCCAGCTGACTCTATTGGTGATAGTAAAGGAATGATCAAAGATTATATGACCGATATATATATATATATTCGTTATATATAAGGTTATTTTTTCAAGACGGCCGCCGTTACCATGGCAACCATATTTTCAGAAGAGTCCCTGACGCATGCAAATATTTCTCCTTAACCACCTTTACTTATTATATAAACAAATAAATAAAAAACTGCTTATTATTTAAGAAGTTTTTTCCCCGTTTTTTCTGGAGCCCCACCTTCTTAAAATGAATATGAGCTGAATTCACTGTAAAAATAAATTATATTGACCTACTACACTAGAAAATGTGCCTTATTTCACTGGCAGATGTAAAAATATTCCAGTGCCTAGAAAAAAAATGAACACCGGGCAATCCCCACCTTCATGGCCCGCCCACGTCGTGACGTTATCACACCGAAAATGTAGGTTACAAAAAAAGTGCAGGGGGGGGAGGGAAACCTGTGCCGCATTTGTAGTAAACAACACGTGGTCTCTGCGTTCCTAGCCGGAGTTTACCTCGCCAGTTCTCTCCCCTATCGGCATTTTTCTCTCCCCCCCCACCCCACCGCCGGCTGATCCTAGTTACATGAAATAATACTGCACAAAGATCAAATGTATTCGCCGTTCAGATAAGCAGAAGTTAAAGGGAGCAGTTGTGGTTAAAGTTGCCGTTTGCTGTGCATTGCATTTCCCCACTGCAAGCTGGTATTTATCAGCGGGGACGGGGGGGGGGGGGGGGGACAAGGAGGAGACACAATAAAGGACACGGTGCACTTTTCTAAAAGATAAATTCCCAGTTCAAGGTCGGGACGGGAGACCTTGAACAGACTGATGTACATCAGATGTGCTAGCGGTACTGGGCCACATGTATACGTCATGGAACCAGTGCTGACACAGTTAGTGGCAAGGTCTGTTGCTGGTATACAGTGGTTTCCCCTTAGTGTGACACATTCACTCATCCTGAGTGTACTTGAGTGACACATTCACTCATCCTGAGTCTACTTGAGTGACACATTCACTCATCCTGAGTCTGCGTGTACTTGAATGACGTCACACAACGGGCGGGAAGAGGACAGAACTTTGCTTGTGTATTTGATTGTTTTTCAGTGGCCCTCGTTTCTTATGAAGTAGAGTGGCGATCATCGATTCTAATTCTGTGCATGTTTCCTTTTTTTTTTTGTAAGCTCGCCTCGTATAATCTATGCAGCGTTGTTTGTTTGTTGTTGGTTCTTATACCATCGTAAACATCGGATACAATTTTATGAAGTTCTAAAAAGTTCTGGAAAATAAAAACGAGCACGAATTTTAAAAAGTGACCAACTGAGCCTAAATCTGAAAAATCTTATGGTACAATTCCATGATTAGCTAAATGTAGGTCAAAGGTTACGAACCTAAAGCTCTTCGCTTTCAAAAACAAGAAGCAGCTGTAAAATTGTTTTGTTTCTAAATATAACTACGCGTTTGCAGTCCACTTCCTTGTTTTGTAAAGTTAAAAAAAATAATTTCGTTTTTTTTTTATTATTCATCGTCTTCATCTCAGTTTCCTTGTTTTCATCATTCATCGTATCCCCTCCACTAACATTGTAGGATCGCTATTGATTTAAAAATACAATTTTCATTATTTGATGATTATTATTAGCTTGTTTTGAGCCACTATTGTACGTCTTATGTTCACAAGTTAAACATCTCACATCTCTACACACCTCACACAAGCTACATATCTCTACACACCTCACACAAGCTACATATCTCTACACAAGCTACACATCTCTACACATCTCCCACAAGCTACACATCTCTACACATCTCCCACAAGCTACACATCTCTACACATCTCCCACAAGCTACACATCTCTACACACCTCACACAAGCTACACATCTCTACACAAGCTACACATCTCTACACATCTCCCACAAGCTACACATCTCTACACACCTCCCACAAGCTACACATCTCTACACATCTCCCACAAGCTACACATCTCTACACATCTCCCACAAGCTACACATCTCTACACACCTCACACAAGCTACACATCTCTACACATCTCCCACAAGCTACACATCTCTACACATCTCCCACAAGTTACACATCTCTACACATCTCCCTCAAGCTACACATCTCTACACATCTCCCTCAAGCTACACATCTCTACACATCTCCCACAAGCTACACATCTCCCACAAGCTACACATCTCTACACATCTCCCACAAGCTACACATCTCTACACATCTCCCACAAGCTACACATCTCTACACATCTCCCACAAGCTACACATCTCCCACAAGCTACACATCTCCCACAAGCTACACATCTCTACACATCTCCCACAAGCTACACATCTCTACACATCTCCCACAAGCTACACATCTCTACACATCTCCCACAAGCTACACATCTCTACACATCTCCCACAAGCTACACATCTCTACACATCTCCAACAAGCTACACATCTCCCACAAGCTACACATCTCCCACAAGCTACACATCTCCCACAAGCTACACATCTCCCACAAGCTACACATCTCCCACAAGCTACACATCTCTACACATCTCCCACAAGCTACACATCTCCCACAAGCTACACATCTCCCACAAGCTACACATCTCCCACAAGCTACACATCTCTCACAAGCTACACATCTCTACACATCTCCCACAAGCTACACATCTCTCACAAGCTACACATCTCTACACATCTCTACACAAGCTACACATCTCCCACAAGCTACACATCTCTACACATCTCCCACAAGCTACACTTCTCTACACATCTCCCACAAGCTACACATCTCTCACAAGCTACACATCTCTACACATCTCCCACAAGCTACACATCTCTACACATCTCCCACAAGCTACACATATCCCACAAGCTACACATATCCCACAAGCTACACATCTCCCACAAGCTACACATCTCTACACATCTCTCACAAGCTACACATCTCTACACATCTCCCACAAGCTACACATCTCTACACATCTCCCACAAGCTACACATCTCCCACAAGCTACACATCTCTACACATCTCCCACAAGCTACACATCTCTCACAAGCTACACATCTCCCACAAGCTACACATCTCCCACAAGCTACACATCTCTCACAAGCTACACATCTCTACACATCTCCCACAAGCTACACATCTCTACACATCTCCCACAAGCTACACATCTCCCACAAGCTACACATCTCCCACAAGCTACACATCTCTCACTAGCTACACATCTCTACACAAGCTACACATCTCCCACAAGCTACACATCTCTACACATCTCCCACAAGCTACACATCTCTACACAAGCTACACATCTCTACACATCTCCCACAAGCTACACATCTCTCACAAGCTACACATCTCTACACAAGCTACACATCTCTACACAAGCTACACATCTCCCACAAGCTACACATCTCCCACAAGCTACACATCTCCCACAAGCTACACATCTCCCACAAGCTACACATCTCTACACAAGCTACACATCTCCCACAAGCTACACATCTCTACACATCTCCCACAAGCTACACATCTCTACACATCTCCCACAAGCTACACATCTCTACACATCTCCCACAAGCTACACATCTCCCACAAGCTACACATCTCCCACAAGCTACACATCTCCCACAAGCTACACATCTCCCACAAGCTACACATCTCTCACAAGCTACACATCTCCCACAAGCTACACATCTCTACACATCTCCCACAAGCTACACATCTCTTCACATCTCCCACAAGCTACACATCTCCCACAAGCTACACATCTCTACACATCTCCCACAAGCTACACATCTCCCACAAGCTACACATCTCCCACAAGCTACACATCTCCCACAAGCTACACATCTCTACACATCTCCCACAAGCTACACATCTCTACACATCTCCCACAAGCTACACATCTCCCACAAGCTACACATCTCTACACATCTCCCACAAGCTACACATCTCCCACAAGCTACACATCTCCCACAAGCTACACATCTCCCACAAGCTACACATCTCCCACAAGCTACACATCTCTCACAAGCTACACATCTCTACACATCTCTACACAAGCTACACATCTCCCACAAGCTACACATCTCTACACATCTCCCACAAGCTACACATCTCCCACAAGCTACACATCTCTACACATCTCTCACAAGCTACACATCTCCCACAAGCTACACATCTCTACACATCTCCCACAAGCTACACATCTCTCACAAGCTACACATCTCCCACAAGCTACACATCTCCCACAAGCTACACATCTCTACAGATCTCCCACAAGCTACACATCTCTACACATCTCTACACAAGCTACACATCTCTACACATCTCCCACAAGCTACACATCTCCCACAAGCTACACATCTCTACACATCTCCCACAAGCTACACATCTCTACACATCTCCAACAAGCTACACATCTCCCACAAGCTACACATCTCCCACAACGCCTACCTCTTCTCTCCCCAGAATTTGACGGCGAGACTGTCCTATGCCGTGTGTGCGGTGACCGTGCCAGCGGCTTCCACTATGGCGTCCACGCTTGTGAAGGCTGTAAGGTAAGAGCCAACCTGCTGGACATAGGGTGGAGGGGGGGCATAGGGTGGAAGGGTGGTGGGGACATAAGGTGGGGGGGGGGGGGGTGGGGACATAGGGTAGAGGGGGGTGGGGTAGGATTCTAGAGCCAACCTGCTGGACATAGGGGGGTGGTGAGGGGGGGACATAGGGTAGAGGGGGGTGGGTAGGGTTCTATAGCCCATCTGCTGGACATAGGGTGGAGAGGGGGGGGGGGGTGGGGACGTGGGGGGGGGGGTAGGATTCTAGCGCCAATCTGCTGGACATAGGGTGGAGGGGGTGGGGTGGAAGCGTTTGATTGATTGGCTTGACACTACATCAAGTCAACGAAGTTAGAAGTAGATAATAGAAGTGAGAAAAATGAGACAAAAGCCTGTAGGTAGACGTGATGGCCATTGTGGCCTGTAGGTAGACACATGATGGTCACCCCCAGTGCTACATTTACATGTCACCCTGTGTAGCTACCCCCAGTGCTACATCTACATGTCACCCTGTGTAGCTACCCCCAGTGCTACATGTCACCCTGTGTAGCTACCCCCAGTGCTACATTTACATGTCACCCTGTGTAGCTATCCCCAGTGCTACATTTACATGTCACCCTGTGTAGCTACCCCCAGTGCTACATTTACATGTCACCCTGTGTAGCTACCCCCAGTGCTACATTTACATGTCACCCTGTGTAGCTACCCCCAGTGCTACATTTACATGTCACCCTGTGTAGCTACCCCCAGTGCTACATTTACATGTCACCCTGTGTAGCTACCCCCAGTGCTACATTTACATGTCACCCTGTGTAGCTACCCCCAGTGCTACATTTACATGTCACCCTGTGTAGCTACCCCCAGTGCTACATTTACATGTCACCCTGTGTAGCTACCCCCAGTGCTACATTTACATGTCACCCTGTGTAGCTACCCCCAGTGCTACATTTACATGTCACCCTGTGTAGCTACCCCCAGTGCTACATTTACATGTCACCCTGTGTAGCTACCCCCAGTGCTACATTTACATGTCACCCTGTGTAGCTACCCCCAGTGCTACATTTACATGTCACCCTGTGTAGCTACCCCCAGTGCTACATTTACATGTCACCCTGTGTAGCTACCCCCAGTGCTACATCTACATGTCACCCTGTGTAGCTACCCCCAGTGCTACATGTCACCCTGTGTAGCTACCCCCAGTGCTACATTTACATGTCACCCTGTGTAGCTACCCCCAGTGCTACATCTACATGTCACCCTGTGTAGCTACCCCCAGTGCTACATGTCACCCTGTGTAGCTACCCCCAGTGCTACATGTCACCATGTGTAGCTACCCCCAGTGCTACATTTACATGTCACCCTGTGTAGCTACCCCCAGTGCTACATTTACATGTCACCCTGTGTAGCTACCCCCAGTGCTACATTTACATGTCACCCTGTGTAGCTACCCCCAGTGCTACATTTACATGTCACCCTGTGTAGCTACCCCCAGTGCTACATTTACATGTCACCCTGTGTAGCTACCCCCAGTGCTACATGTCACCCTGTGTAGCTACCCCCAGTGCTACATTTACATGTCACCCTGTGTAGCTACCCCCAGTGCTACATTTACATGTCACCCTGTGTAGCTACCCCCAGTGCTACATTTACATGTCACCCTGTGTAGCTACCCCCAGTGCTACATTTACATGTCACCCTGTGTAGCTACCCCCAGTGCTACATCTACATGTCACCCTGTGTAGCTACCCCCAGTGCTACATGTCACCCTGTGTAGCTACCCCCAGTGCTACATGTCACCATGTGTAGCTACCCCCAGTGCTACATTTACATGTCACCCTGTGTAGCTACCCCCAGTGCTACATTTACATGTCACCCTGTGTAGCTACCCCCAGTGCTACATGTCACCCTGTGTAGCTACCCCCAGTGCTACATGTCACCCTGTGTAGCTACCCCCAGTGCTACATCTACATGTCACCCTGTGTAGCTACCCCCAGTGCTACATGTCACCCTGTGTAGCTACCCCCAGTGCTACATTTACATGTCACCCTGTGTAGCTACCCCCAGTGCTACATTTACATGTCACCCTGTGTAGCTACCCCCAGTGCTACATCTACATGTCACCCTGTGTAGCTACCCCCAGTGCTACATCTACATGTCACCCTGTGTAGCTACCCCCAGTGCTACATTTACATGTCACCCTGTGTAGCTACCCCCAGTGCTACAGGTCACCCTGTGTAGCTACCCCCAGTGCTACATTTACATGTCACCCTGTGTAGCTACCCCCAGTGCTACATCTACATGTCACCCTGTGTAGCTACCCCCAGTGCTACATTTACATGTCACCCTGTGTAGCTACCCCCAGTGCTACAGGTCACCCTGTGTAGCTACCCCCAGTGCTACATTTACATGTCACCCTGTGTAGCTACCCCCAGTGCTACATTTACATGTCACCCTGTGTAGCTACCCCCAGTGCTACATGTCACCCTGTGTAGCTACCCCCAGTGCTACATGTCACCCTGTGTAGCTACCCCCAGTGCTACATCTACATGTCACCCTGTGTAGCTACCCCCAGTGCTACAGGTCACCCTGTGTAGCTACCCCCAGTGCTACATTTACATGTCACCCTGTGTAGCTACCCCCAGTGCTACATTTACATGTCACCCTGTGTAGCTACCCCCAGTGCTACATCTACATGTCACCCTGTGTAGCTACCCCCAGTGCTACATCTACATGTCACCCTGTGTAGCTACCCCCAGTGCTACATGTCACCCTGTGTAGCTACCCCCAGTGCTACATTTACATGTCACCCTGTGTAGCTACCCCCAGTGCTACATTTACATGTCACCCTGTGTAGCTACCCCCAGTGCTACATTTACATGTCACCCTGTGTAGCTACCCCCAGTGCTACATGTCACCCTGTGTAGCTACCCCCAGTGCTACATGTCACCCTGTGTAGCTACCCCCAGTGCTACATGTCACCCTGTGTAGCTACCCCCAGTGCTACATGTCACCCTGTGTAGCTACCCCCAGTGCTACATTTACAGGTCACCCTGTGTAGCTACCCCCAGTGCTACATTTACATGTCACCCTGTGTAGCTACCCCCAGTGCTACATTTACATGTCACCCTGTGTAGCTACCCCCAGTGCTACATTTACATGTCACCCTGTGTAGCTACCCCCAGTGCTACATGTCACCCTGTGTAGCTACCCCCAGTGCTACATTTACATGTCACCCTGTGTAGCTACCCCCAGTGCTACATTTACATGTCACCCTGTGTAGCTACCCCCAGTGCTACATTTACATGTCACCCTGTGTAGCTACCCCCAGTGCTACATGTCACCCTGTGTAGCTACCCCCAGTGCTACATTTACATGTCACCCTGTGTAGCTACCCCCAGTGCTACATTTACATGTCACCCTGTGTAGCTACCCCCAGTGCTACATTTACATGTCACCCTGTGTAGCTACCCCCAGTGCTACATGTCACCCTGTGTAGCTACCCCCAGTGCTACATTTACATGTCACCCTGTGTAGCTACCCCCAGTGCTACATCTACATGTCACCCTGTGTAGCTACCCCCAGTGCTACATTTACATGTCACCCTGTGTAGCTACCCCCAGTGCTACATGTCACCCTGTGTAGCTACCCCCAGTGCTACATTTACATGTCACCCTGTGTAGCTACCCCCAGTGCTACATGTCACCCTGTGTAGCTACCCCCAGTGCTACATTTACATGTCACCCTGTGTAGCTACCCCCAGTGCTACATTTACATGTCACCCTGTGTAGCTACCCCCAGTGCTACATGTCACCCTGTGTAGCTACCCCCAGTGCTACATGTCACCCTGTGTAGCTACCCCCAGTGCTACATTTACATGTCACCCTGTGTAGCTACCCCCAGTGCTACATTTACATGTCACCCTGTGTAGCTACCCCCAGTGCTACATGTCACCCTGTGTAGCTACCCCCAGTGCTACATGTCACCCTGTGTAGCTACCCCCAGTGCTACATTTACATGTCACCCTGTGTAGCTACCCCCAGTGCTACATGTCACCCTGTGTAGCTACCCCCAGTGCTACATGTCACCCTGTGTAGCTACCCCCAGTGCTACATGTCACCCTGTGTAGCTACCCCCAGTGCTACATCTACATGTCACCCTGTGTAGCTACCCCCAGTGCTACATTTACATGTCACCCTGTGTAGCTACCCCCAGTGCTACATTTACATGTCACCCTGTGTAGCTACCCCCAGTGCTACATGTCACCCTGTGTAGCTACCCCCAGTGCTACATTTACATGTCACCCTGTGTAGCTACCCCCAGTGCTACATTTACATGTCACCCTGTGTAGCTACCCCCAGTGCTACATTTACATGTCACCCTGTGTAGCTACCCCCAGTGCTACATGTCACCCTGTGTAGCTACCCCCAGTGCTACATTTACATGTCACCCTGTGTAGCTACCCCCAGTGCTACATTTACATGTCACCCTGTGTAGCTACCCCCAGTGCTACATTTACATGTCACCCTGTGTAGCTACCCCCAGTGCTACATTTACATGTCACCCTGTGTAGCTACCCCCAGTGCTACATTTACATGTCACCCTGTGTAGCTACCCCCAGTGCTACATTTACATGTCACCCTGTGTAGCTACCCCCAGTGCTACATTTACATGTCACCCTGTGTAGCTACCCCCAGTGCTACATTTACATGTCACCCTGTGTAGCTACCCCCAGTGCTACATTTACATGTCACCCTGTGTAGCTACCCCCAGTGCTACATGTCACCCTGTGTAGCTACCCCCAGTGCTACATGTTCTCATGTAGCCACATCTTAGAACTGCTCCCAGAGCTCGCTGGAGACTGTTCTATTTTTAGAGCTGAGCTCATCAAAAATTTCATTGATAATTTTCTCCTGCGGAAATATCGGCTTTTTATGGCTCCACTCCCCTGGTATGACACCCCTCCCCCCTTTATGGATTGCACTTAACTTGTATTGGATGGACCA